CCCATCCCAGCCTCCCACAGTCCAGGACACAGGGTGCCCAGCCCTGCGGCCCCAGGTCCCAGAAGGCCTCACCACGGCCCTCATGCGGGTGGACCACTCGCCTGTGGCCCCAGCGAAGACATCGCCCTGGGCAGGGCTCTCCGAGATGACGGCTGTGGCCTCCACAGTGGACGTCCGGTCAAAGGTCAGTGCGCCAGAGGATGTGATCTGTCCTGAGGGGGTCACCGTGACTGGAAGGCGGAGCTGGGCTCAGCAGGGTGGCAGGGGTCTGGGAAGGCTGACCCCCTCCCCCCACCCCCGTGGCCAGTCAGGTGAGACTCTCAGCTTGGCCTCTCACGTACTTGTCCCAGCTTGTGGGTCCAGGCCAGGTGTGTGCACGGCCAGGCCAGGAGACGACCTCTCACAGCCATCATGTGGCTGGGGTGAGGGCCGCAACCTCGGCTCGGGACCCTGCAGCGCGGCATGGCGTCCCTCCCGCAGGGTGGATCGAGCTGCCTTGGAGCCACATGCCAGGGCCTCACCATACTGCCCACAAGTCGGCGAGGAAGAGCCAGACTGACTGCACCGCACCCCGGCTCCCACATGGCTCTGCCCATCCCCAAGCTTCCATCCCCTTCCTGGCACTGCACCAGCTCTGCAGACAAGTGACCACACTAAGTTGGCCAAGCTTGGGGGCAGGGGGAGGGCCAGTCTCCTGGGGTGGCGGCTCCCAGTGGCTCTCCTCCATGAAAAGCTATTTCCAGAGCCAAGCGGTCCAGCCTGGGAACACTGTGGGCAGACATGTCCCAGGGACAGCCATTCCCCAGCCCAGAAAGGCCTGACCATGAAACCTACATGCCAGTGCTTAGAGGAAGCAAGGAGGTACTGCGCCCTCCCTCCAGCTGAGGCCGAGTTACAGCCGCCACCACAGGGCACAGGCACAGAGTCACGGGGCTGTGAGTTACAGGGCTATGGGCCGCTGGGGTCACGGCCATGGGGCCATGAGCACAGGGCCCTGGGGCCCAGGCCGGCTGGGAGTAGAGGTCCTCCTAGCAGCGGGACTCACAGGTGGTGGCGGCCGTGGCTGGGAGCAGGGTGATGTTTTTGGGAGACTCCTTCTTGACCTGCGCTGTGGGCAGCTCGTTCTCCCTCCTACGCCGTTTGTACGGTACAAAGAGCCTGACGGGTCCGCTCTGCGGGGGGAAAGCCCGGTCAGACCCGGAGAGGCTGGCAGGTGGCTGGCACCCTGCTCCTCTGGGCCGCCCACTGGCACCAACAGCATTGCACCCAGGCCCGTTACCCACAGGCCCCAAACTTCTGGCTGACAGTACCTCCAAGGAAGATGAAGTGGGGGGGCGCCTTGAGCCGCACACACGAGTAAAAGTGTCTCCATCTTTCTCACAGAGTATACACACACGTGTTAATGAAGCGGACACCTTTGACCTGGGCCACCAGCCGGCCCGCGGCCGTGTCCACATGTGGAGCTCCGGCACT